AATGCCTATACAATGTGGATCAGTTTGTGGGCATTCCATACGCCGAACCCCCGGTCGGCAAACATAGGTTCGCAAAACCCGAACCCATTTCTAAACCATTCCCCGTAAGTATAAAACTAATCATTTTAAATAAATTATGTTTAAATTAGTTACATTGTATAGGCATTCAAATTATAAGTATTTTAATAAATAAAACAATTAAATTTAAATGCAATGGACATACATTATTAATAACAATTACATTAAAATGTTGTAAATTTTAGAGCATTATTAAAATTTGATAAACTTTTATAAATGATAAATAATAATTGTTAAATATGTAATGTAATATTATTGCCATTAGAATATAATTGATGCGACAAAAGTTAAAAACTCGTGTATGCAAAATGCGATGGCGTTTCCTAATCCGGATTCACCCCTCAGTGAGGACTGTCTGGTGCTTAACATATGGACAACGAATACCACAGCATTAAAGCCAGTGATGTTTTGGATATACGGCGGTGGACTTGTTACGGGTTCAATTTTTCAAGAGTTATATAATGGGAGCGCTTTGGCCACCAATGATGTGGTGGTTGTGTCCGTCAACTATAGGTTAGGACCGTTTGGTTTCCTATACGGAGATCGGGAGGACGCGCCCGGAAATGTCGGCTTTTATGACCAGTTATTAGGCATGAAATGGGTATCAATTGATTTTTTTTAATCATAATATGTTTACATTTCATATGAATTAATTATTTAATAATAGGTTAGAGAAAACATCCACTCATTTGGCGGAGATAGGGATCGGATTACCATTTTTGGTGAGAGCTCCGGGAGTTGGTCGGTGTCCGCACACATACTCTCCCCGTTATCTAAGGGTATGTTTCAGAGGGCTATTATGGAAAGCGGTGCCAATATGTTCAATAAGGACAGGGATGTAGTTAACAAAACTGAGGCCATATCTCAGGCCAAAGCAATGGCCAAAGGATTGAAATGCAATGAAACCGAGGATTGGATACAATGTCTGCGAAGAGCGGACGCCAAAGAGTTGCTCAAATATGGATCGCCTTACGCCTTATACCCGGTGTTTGGGACAGAGTTTTTACCCATTCGTCCACATTAGTGTCGGTAAATTGGACAATTTTCATTCACGCTCACTCACGTTC